TGTTATTATTATTATTATTATGGTTATTATTATTATTATTATTAATAATAAAAGTCAACCGTAAACTATTAATAATATTACTTGTCATTATTGTTATTATTGTTGTTGTTATTATTATTATTATTATTAATAAAAGTCAACCGTAAACTATTAATAATATTACGTGTCATTTGGACAATGCTATACGACTCATGAGGTAGTGAGAGGATAAAGTCGATCTCATTGTTTTAGTCTCGTTGTACAGCTTCAATTCACTATTAGTTGAAAGGGACCATCTATCAACTTTCTTAACGATCTTTTTTTCCGTTTTTTGAAAAGGTGTAATTCTTAGAACGAAAAAAAGACCTCACATTTTGAGGTCATGACACAAACCGACGAAAACCACAAAAGTTATATCCAAGCAAACGAAAGAGACTCATCAAACAAGACTAAAGAGAACAAAACTAATACGTAAACAATCCAAGGGAAAGAATCCAAAGTCACTACCCTCGTTAGATGCCTCGAGCTAAGTTGAACAATAGAGGAACACATTAGACTTTACGTCCTCAAAAGCATACTTGGGGGCTCGTAAAAGTAACATCATATTTATGAAGTTTAGGCTCCCACCACAAAGAGAGAAGTCGTCTCATACGAGTATTTCCCCCCAATTGCAAACATTAAACAGGAATCCGTCAATTTGGGTTCGGTTATGAACTTATTTGAGCTAGGTGAGTTCAAAAAAAAAATGAAAACTTTATAAATTGAATTCGTTAATTAGTTTTCCCAAAACTAATTGGGTTTAACGAAACAAATCCAACCATAAACCCTAAACTATACCACGAACGAACACGGTCCCACTTATGCAACCATCTTATATAACTAGACGTGCCTAAAAGAACGTCTAGAATATTACCTCCAAATCGTAAAATTCAATACCCTAAAGCACCCTAGGATTCCTAGGACGCCGAGACGCTCACCTACGGTCTACTTAAAAGCCTTTAGGGGCCGTTTAGTTGAAAGCTTTGTTTATAACATCTGGAAAAAGAATGTCTCGGAATAGAATACCTGTAAATTAAATTACTGTGTTCGGGGTTCAAACGGAGAATTTTTATTACAAAATACAATTACAACATCTCAAATTAAGCCTAATTACACTTAAATTAAGCTAAAATGATGGTTGGATTAAAGGAAGCAAAAGCAAGAAATTGTTGATCATTTTCCAATATGTTCATTTCATCCTCATCCAACATTATCCATGCTTCAATCCCATCTCCCAAAATCCCTTCCTTCAAAACGACAACGTTCTTCAGCACTGAATTTTCAGGTCCTGCAACGCTCACCCATGAAGCCTTTCCCCACCCAAAATCAACCTCGTTTAGCCCCATATTTCGCCAGCTCGTGAACCCATATGAATATGGCTTTGAAGTATAAAGCTCCTTCATCCTCATGAACCATCTTGATATTCCCTCAAACCCTTCTTCGCCCGCCATTTCTCGTATGAACCCCTCGTCGATCTCCGCAACCGATCGCTGAACTAGATCAACTAGCTCGCTCAATTCTATCTCGGCCTTCGGTGTGTCGTAATGAGCAACCGCACTCCAGAAAATGTTTCCGATCGAGGTCGCTGGTAATGGCGGGGCCATTCTTCGCCGGAGGTCGACTGCATGAGTCAGTACCTACCAGAAGTTCAAGATTATTTTTATCAATTTATGTTAAGAACGAGAAATATAAGTGAGATCGAGAGTATCACTTCTGTTTTTCATTTTTAACATGATATCATAGTGGTGAATGTAATGTAATAAGGATGTGATAAATCCACCATCGAAATGCTGGATTTGGTTGATTCCGCCAAAAAAGAAATTTTTGATATTTAAAAACACTAAGATCTCTATTTTGATACGAATCAGAAACGGGTATGTTTCTCTTTCTTAACATAGTATAGAGTTGTGAATGTAATAAGCATAAGGATGTGTTTAAATAACCTCCTAAATTTTGAAGTTGGATTTGATTGATTCAATCGAAATTTAGATATTTAAGAATACAAAGGGTACTCGGATATGATGTTAAGAATTTTAAGTAATTACCGATGATCGTCGAGAACGGGAGCTTTGTCTTGCGGCTATCATCATATACTTCCATATGAAACCAGTGACTACTTCCACACTTGTGGGAATCTTGTCACTCTTCCTTTTCACTTCCTCTTTCAGCTCGGAAATGGCGGCGCCGTCAAAAACAAACCTTTTTCTGCAAATCCTTCCTTCCCCTACAAATGGCGAATACCCTTTTGAAAGCCATGAATTTCCCACCAACAATTCTCTCCCCGGGAACGTCGCCGCCGTGCCGTATTCCGGCTGTTCCCCTCCTCCCTTCTCTTCTGTTGACACGCCGGCCATGGACGCCCACCTCCTCAGAAAGCCGCTCAGTGTTGTCCCGTCGATGATCTTGTGTAGAAAACAGACCCCCACTGCCACCCCGCCGCCGCTGAAGGCGTTGAGCTGGACGGCGACTTGAGGATATGCTTTGTAGATCCAAAAATTAAAAAAAAAAAAAATATATATATATATATATATATTAGGGTGCAATATCTATTGGGCTGAAGGTAAATTTTTTACATTCAGGTTAATTGGATTGGTAAGTGAACCTAGTCTAAATTTTTACAATCCAACTTCAATCCTTTATTTGTGGGTTGGATTCGAACTGGATTGTTCGGTTCTTAAAAAAAATTATTTATCCATAATTCATAATTATTCGATACAAAATTAGATAAAAGATATTAAAATTAAATACAAATCTATTGATAAACACTAAAAAAAAATTCATTAATAAAAAATAAATTTATTAATAAAAGTTAATAAAAAAACACAACTAAATATCGACACTTATTGAGAGAATTAATTATTCTAAAAATGAAAATATAATGGTATATTATAAAATTAAAAAAATAATAAAAATGAGAAAAAAATATAAAATTATTTTACTCAAATAGACTTACTTATATGACATTAATGAACCATCGAACTGCATCAATTGGGTTAAAAAAAATGAACCAAGCCCAACTCGAAACACGAACCCAGCTCAATCCCTATAATTTGGGTTGAGTTGGTACGGGTTATTGGGTTAAATGCACACCCTAACATGTATAATTAAAAATTAGAGTTATCTTACATGGTTCCATGGTGGACAGCGATCTGGTTTGCACATATCGAAAAGGGATGAGTTGACTCAACGACTCGAAGCTTGGTTGGTTCAAGAACTCGGGCATGGTGCGATGAACTCTAGCAACCTGAAAGAGGGCTCCGACGCCGTTGTCGAGGATGTGTGTGTTGTCTTTGATGGCACCGGCGAGAAGGTAGAAGTCGGAGAGGGCATGGGAGAGGGAGGCTTTGAGAGGGTGGGAGAGATGGAGAGGGACATGGGAGTGTTTGAGAGAATAGAAGAAGACGAGGGAGGTGTAAGTGAAGGGAGAGAGCTGATCAAGAACTGAGAGTTTTAAGGATCTTAGAGATGGTGGGAAGGAAGATGGTTTGATAGTTTCACTTGATATTATCTCCACTTCCATGTCTTCCTTTTGGATCAACAACACACCCATTTTCTATATATATATATATAAATAACCGAACGGTTAAGTTATAAGTTTAGCCTGTATTGAGTAAGCCGAGTAGGTTTAGGGTCGAGGAACTTTTGAATCCGGTGACGAATGAGATTTGTTGTTAAGTTTATAATTTATTGTTTATGTGGTTCATTTACGATATTAGATATGAATGATTTGGTTGCATTAATTTTAAATTTGGAGTTTTTTTTTTTTTTTTTTTTAATGGCGTTTTGTCTTCTTCTTAAAATTTTCTCTTCTTCTCTTTCTTCCTATTTCTCGAACATTAAGTAAATCTAAAAAAATGACTACTAAAAAAATGACTATATATTCTCAAATTTCACGGGAGCTCAAAATGATGACATTTGAAATCTTGAAATCTTAAATTAATTTTGATCCATTTATAAGTATAATGGTAAAAAATATAAAACAATCTTATACTTATAGAGATTAACCTTGAACCCAAGTTACCATAAATTTAATCATATCAATACTTTTACTTTTCTCTAATTAAAATACAACTAATTTAAAATATTAGAAATCAAAATAAATAATTAATTTAAAATATTAGAAGTACAAAAATTAAAATATTTAAGTCTAATAATTATAATTATTATTATTAGTTGATTAAGAAGATAATATTTGTTTATTTTATAATTATATATTTTGTGGTCCAAATACCCTTTAAAATACTAATTAATTTGTTATTTAGATATCAACACAATTATTTCAAAACAAATATGAGGTAATGTTTTGTTTTTGTTATGACTTAAAAATTATAATAGGATGGGAGTAGTTGAGAAGAAACAAAGACATCTTGGTTGGCAATAAAGGCTTTTTGGAGAACGAAAAAGAACACCGAACACTTGCAATGGGGTATTTGTCTGAACCACACAACATTTAATCGATGAAAATCAAAACGTAAAGACATGTTTTGAAGTATCCGACCAGTGTAAAAGATGATCGAAGGATAGAGAGAAGGAATAATGCCCTCCGACCTAAGATGAACACGATTGATGAAGAGGATGAGATTAGATCAATTTAGCTAGTGGATCAAGAGTTAGAAATCAAGAAAACAAACAACTCAATCATCAATTTAGCTAGTGGATCAAGAGTTGGAAATCAAGAAAACAAACAACTCAATCATAAACTAAGCGAATCAAGATTTGGAACATCAAGAAAGCGAGCGGCTCACTCATAAACTAAGTCACCGCCACAACCAAGAGTAACGAATAAATTTGTTTATCCAAACCTGACCAAAGTTATTAATGATCATGATTTGAACACGATTAATGAAGAGGATGAGACAGATCAAGTTGTTAGTGGAACGAGAAAGCGAGTAGCTCAATCATAAACTAAGTCACCACAACAACCGAGAGCAATGAATAAATATGTTTATCAAACCCGAACCCGACCAAAGTTGATGATAGGAAAAAAAAAAACGAACCCATATCCATTAATATCAAAAAAGTGAGGGAAAGCAAAGCAAAGTCATGTCTCGGCCCCAAAGACATTTGTTTAGAGAACCGAGGGCTAAACAAACAGGCAGCAGCTACACAAGAAGAATTGCTTACAAGAAAAGAAAGCAACCTTACAATACTCAGTCCAACCAACCAACCAACCAAACATGACTCCAGGATCTTCAAGAAAAAAACAATAATAGTTGGAATAAATAATGAATATTATGAATTCTATATGGTCACTATGAACCCAAGTTTATGTTGCAATGAAGGCGTTGACATAATATATATCAACAGTGAGGAAGAAGGAAGAAGAACATAAATTCAGATCAATTTACTTCACGGTTCCGGAGCATGAGCCGGGGCAGGAGGCCTTAGAAGCGGCTGGAGAGCCTTAACAACGATGCTCATGTTCGGCCTGAACTCCGCTTCGTACTGGACACACAGAGCTGCCACAGCAGCCAGCTGCAATAACAGTAAAACCAAGTCAATGTCACAGTAATATTTGACCATTTTGCTGCAATGCTGTTCAAACACAAGTTACCTTGGCAACTCCTTTGGGAGGATATTCACCCTTCAGCCTTGGATCAACACATTGTTTAACTTTGTCTTCACTTAGTCTTGGGGTAGCCTTAAAACAAACCGAAAACCGTCGTTTTAGACTGACTTCTAAAAGTTCGATACTCGAAAAGCAATAAGAAAGCAGGCAAATGAGTGAGTGCTTACCCAAGTAACAAGACTCTGCTGCCCACGAGGCATGGTGTGATCGACGGGTTTCCTCCCGGTCAAAAGCTCGAGTAGAACGACTCCAAAGCTGTAGACGTCACTCTTCTGTGTCAACTGTCCAGTCATTGCGTACCTAGAGAAGAGAGGACTTGAGCATCAATAATACAACACTTGATTCATGGCTACTTACCCAATTTCTAATGAACAAAAAGCATTACTCGGGAGCATGATAGCCAAAAGTTCCTAAAACTCGAGTAGAATGAAGTCGAGCAGCCATGTCAGGAGCCTGGTTTGAAAGGTTAAAGTCTGCAATCTTTGCTTTGAAGTCTTCAAAGAGAAGCACATTGCTGGATCTAACATCTCTATGAATGATAGAAGGTTGAACTTTCTCGTGCAAGTATTCCAATCCTCGAGCTGCATCAACCGCAATTCTCACACGCTGTATCCAATCAAGCACGGGACCTGGCTGTGCCCCTTGCACACCCTTTCTACCTGTGTAGGACAACGACTCGTGAGACTAACTGGTCTATATGAAAACTGAACTTAATATGACAGCGTACCATGCAATATGTCGTGTAGAGAACCCATAGTTGCAAATTCATATGCAAGTACACGGAGGTTTCCTTCAACACAATATCCATGCAATTCAACAAAATTTTCATGTTTCAACCTTGAGACTGTAGAAACCTGAAGCAATACCATAAACAAGAAGGAATTAGGATAAGATAAGTTCGAGTTGAAATGTGCTATATCAATATTTGTAGACAAACCTGAGTCAAGAAGTCAATACTCGAATCGGATTCAGAGGAAACATCCAGCTTCTTTACCGCCACAGATTTCCCATTGTTTAAGTTAGCAAAATAAACTCGACCATAAGATCCTTCGCCAATCAGTGCCTTGGACCCAAAGTTGTCTGTCTTTTCTTTCAGTTCTTCCAGAGACAATGCTGGCACTTCTATGGGAGGTGGAGATTTTGGTGCTTCATATGGGGCAGGAGCCGGCTCTTTCGAGTCCCGTCGATAATAACCTAAAAGGCATAAAATATATGTTGCAAGAGATTCCTTCGAAAGTATATAACACGAATTTAAATCACACGAAGACGAGCCATAAACAAGGCAATAGTTATTAAATCCAAGAAGAACATGATACAACATAAATCATAGACAAGACAGAGTTACACAAGATGATCCAGAATAGCGGTTCGGGAACATCTAGGAAGATGCATGTGGAAATGCTCCAATAGAAATCGACTCGAGCTCCTGCAAAGAACAACTTCCACAACACTAGAAATCCTACATATTAGAAAATAAGGTTTTAAAATTGAGCCTATTTTCTTTCATGGATCTTGCCACTTAGAATTGATAGGTATGTCTATCTTTCTTTGGATCCCGTTGATCTAAAAGATAGAAGAAACACATAAAAAATCATTTAGATCCGAACCAGGCTCTTGAAAGCTCATATGTTGTAGGTGGGAAGATATGGGCTGGGAAAGCACGTTAATAATCTCCGTAGGCCATTATGCCCCGAATGATCAGCTAAAATGTCAAACGAAAAGTCATAGCTAATAGGAGCACTCATTCTAATCTAAATTGAGTACCCAACCCATAAGCATTGAGATTCACCCTTCCATTTATCTGCATGAAATAGCAAGGCTACGCAATTGCCAAAAGATCACTTCTCCTCTCTTCATGGAATTCTTCATTTTTCGTGGCCAAGCAACTCCTTGCCCAAAACGACATGAATTGAGAAGGTAAACGCCTCACATTAACCAAACGCTATCTCAATGGTGAACACTCGACTTCCTTCTTGATACCTCAACTTCCTAAAACTATATATATTTTACAAAATATTGATATCTCAAACCCTTCAGACTAAATAGATAACCTTCATTACGAATCACATAAAATGGCATAAGCATCAATGATAGATTAGAGTATTACCATCTCCATAACTTCGTGGGCTTTTCAGGTGCTCACTTTCTGCTAATGGGTAGGCTTCCTCAACTTGACAAGTACAACAAAGCCACCTGCGCATTCTATCCCTTTTACTTAGATATATATTGTCTTTAAAACCTGTATTCTTCAAATCTACGAAACCAGGAGGAGGGGCATGCGCCTGCAAGTAACCAAAAATCCAATAAAAACAATTCTCTTGTCGAACGGCAATGATCTATGAAAGATCTTTTGGCATTGTGTTAACAGCAAAAACAAGAACAAAAACAAAAACAAAAACAAAAAATTTGTTTGCTTTCTTTATAGATGAGAAATAAGGAGACAATTAATTTTTTTTGTTCATGGTGGGGAAAAGAAAAGCGGACAAAAGAGCAAAAGAGAGGGGGAAACGTTTGGATTCTTTGATGAAAAATGCCTCAGATCGTTCCATTCCATCTATAGCTATTTGCAAGTTCGTTACTACGGATAGTTCCTACAAAGGATTGGACGAAGAAGTCTGTCCGTCCTGGACATCTGCAATGTCCTCCCATGCCCACCCTTAAATGTGATCTTTGGCTAGGAAAAAGGGTGGATCTGCAGGATCCCAAATGAATTGGTGAAAGAAGGTTTTGGAGAAGATTGACTCGACTCGACTGCAAATTCTATTTGTTATTAGCAGCTTTCAATAACTTAGAGATTATTTAATTGTGACAACTCCAACCCCCACCCTTAAATGTGATCACATCCTTCTTGAACTATCCAACTTCCAGCCATAGTGGAAGAACAGCCAATTCCAAATATTTTAAAATAACTTCAATACCCCCAAACCAATATTACGAAAAGGTAAAGAACATAAGCATATAAATGGAAATTCGAAACACTGATTCAAATGTGGGGAGGGAAAACATTGCATGTATTGACAAAGCCAATCAAATGAACGAAGGATTCCAACGATCATTACCACTAAACCAAAACGACGATGATCTAAGCCGTCCATTATCAAACCAGAGATTCAAAATTCAAAATGCCAACAGAATCAGATACAGATTCATCCTTACAAACCAGATCAAACAGCAGAAACAGAACGAAACAAAAAAAAAAAAAAAAAAAAAAAA